TCTTGAAACAAACATTGCGAGCGCGAAACGCGAGCAGATTTTATTTTTTCATTAATAAAACAGGGAATTTTAAGGGCTTTCAAAATCCTCATAAACGGGATCCAAATTAATTGATATGTATTTCCTGAAACAAATAATGCGAAATGCAGAAATATTTTCATATGAGTGACAGGAAAAAAGGGCATTTTAAGCGCTTTTTAAAATCCGTTATGTCCTGAAACGAATAATGCGAGCGCTAGGCGCGAGCTGATTTTTTTCTCTTCATTCGTTAGGCCTATGCGTCGGGCAAAAGAAAATGATTTTCTTCAGCTCTTTTTGATTCTTAATAGTAATTCCGACGCAAATTAAATGATTCCAATAATTGCAATTTTGTTTTCCATCTTTTTCATCTACATGCTCGCACCCAATCCACTTGCCTCTAAGTCCATGTTTCTTGCGAAACGCTAAGTCCTCTTCTGTGTTGTAGAGCAAGTTGCACGTTTTGCAACGATTAATTAGCTTTGCAGTACCTTCCATCATGGAAATCCCTAAAAAGTGTATCATCACTTGGTTCGTATTCCATAACTAGTTACAACAATTCTGTCTTTTCAAGTAATAGCTTGATAAGTTGCTTGATGGGAAAATATTGAAATGTAACTTTCTTTCTAACTTGCATCACATTACCAGTGGACTTGTTATTCCTTGGGTAGTATGCTATACCTAGTGTCCGCTGTTGTGGTGGTAGAAAGGCATTTGACTTTTTAAAATATTCCTTCTGTTTATACTCAGTCATGAGATTTTTGTACGGTTGTGATACACTTTCAATATCACTCATGAGCTGCAAGAGTTGTTCATCCTCAGGTAGAATCCCTTTAGCAGCAGCAAATTCTGCAGTTTTAGCCTTCACGAATAATGTAATGTCTTCTATAAGGTCTGCAGAGGTTTGCACAGATTTGGTCACTGTTGAATGTGGCACACTACTACTAGCAAGTAGGCCTGCTATGGTCATGGCTGCTCTCCTTTCTACTTCCTCTTCACCAAAATCATCCCATAGATCTACATCAAAGTCATCTTCAGGGCCACCTTCAAAGTAATCTGCAGCTGCTTCAATATTTCCTTCGTTTGCGTTTACCAGATCTTCATTGACGGCATTCGGTTGGACATTTCGTACTGGTACCGCATTGATATTTTCTTGATACATAGAATGTACCGATTTAAGATGTCGTTTGTAGGTTTGAGTTCGATGGCTGAATGTTCTATTGCAGTTGTTTTGTCCACAAACGATTGACTCGGTTAGAATACCACCAATTACAATGTTGTGAATGCTTTGTAAATGCCATACAAGTTTGCGTTCACCCCCAGGAACCAGCTGGCCACATTTAGGACATGTATAGGCCATGGCGTATTTTAATGCGATTTAATATTAGTGAAGTTCAGAATACCTGTAATTCTGTTAGTTTCTTCAACAGTCTGACACGTGGTCCTAGAGGTTTTATCAGTTCTTTTAACATTTCTTGGTCCAAGCACAAGAAGGCCTCTTCATTCACCTCATTTTCTCTAAAAAGAAAAAAGAAAATTATTCAAAAATTAAATCATTATATTCTATGATTACAGATGATAAATTCATCATCTAACGATATCCATTACCCACAATTCCTATCAAAACACGCAAATAACATTAAAATCAAGAATATCTCCCAGTCTCCCAGATCTCCCAGTCCCACAATCCCAAAATTCAAAATGGCAGATGGCGAAACAAAATGACGATCGCTCAAACCTAGTTATTGGATAACTCTCTGATCCTTTTTTGATAATTATTGACATCTAGACATAGACATGGGCATTTCCATGTTAAGTGGGTACTTCTGTGATGTAAATATGGTCAAAATTGTTTTCACCCCTAGAGCAATCAAATTTCTCCCTTTGCTTGTCCAATATCTATATTCTATATATTTATGAGGGAAAAGATAAGTGTGATTTCATGTTAACTTTGCAGAGGTCGTAAAGTAGGACATGTATTGGGGGGAACGTATGTAACATTGGACAGAAATTTGTAACTTAAATTACCTCTGATTTATTATTTGCTCAATATATAAATGCAATGTTCATTCATGTGAGTTAAGTATCAATAAAACATCAATTTAACAATCATCTCAGAATTTGCTTCTTTTTAAAAAAAATTTTATAGCTTTTTTTGTGAATCAGAAAAACAAATATTTAAGGAATGTTTGCAATGTATCATGTATTATTGAATGAATAAATCTTTCACACATGTTTTAATGGTGCGTACTCTATTAATTTGGTGTCACTGTGTACTGGATGTTGATGCTATGTTCATATATTCCAGGATAAAATAAAATCTAGAAGTTATAATTGTTGATGCATGTTGGAACCAATTAATAAGAATAGGGAACGTATGTAACGGTTGGACAGAACAGGCATCTAAACGTTTGTTTGAATTCTGTTTTGGGACACATATTTCATAATCAATATATTCATAAGCGTTGCATAGGTTAAAATGTTTCATTGTATTGATCATTTTAAATTGTGGAGAATAAGTGAAATGTGAATGGTCTTTAATTATTAAGTATAATGAAATCAATGAATTTGCCAACTGATATACGGTTTGAAAATCTGTAAAATAGATTAATTGATAGTTTTGAAATCTTATCTCACCTCTCATTAATCTTTTGACCAACTGCAAAAGCAAGCAACAAACTTCAGTGTACAACTTAAATTGTCCATGGATGAACCATTTATATAAATTTATACAATTATACACCTGAATTGCAAATTCAAATTTAAAAATGATAAGATAGTAACTATAGTCACATGGAAAGAAGTTGGCACAATATAGAATAAAAGGCAAACACTAATCATTTCATTTCATTGAAATTTCACAAAACCTTATATACAAATTTAAAAGTAGTCTAGGTCTTTAATAGTCAGTAGCCAAAATGTGTCTCGGACACAGAGCCCAATAATAACAGACTGTTAAACAATTGAGCATGCATTTCACTACATGTAAGCATTAGCTTGTAATCAATTCCCATCAAGACTGGGAAAGTAGTTGACACAATATAGAATAAAAGGCAAACACTATTCATTGATATTTCACAAACATCATGTCGTTAATTACAAATTGTCTATACAGGATTTGTATCAACGAAAAAAATACACGGTGGCGACGGGCGATTCGCCCCCTAAACCTCTGAAATCGCCACGGTAAAAATCAAGACGAGGGCGAAAAAAAATCAATATATCTTGAAAAATCGCCCCCGCCATAAATTGATATTCCCTATGAATTAATAAACCAATTTATTGATGTGTCTGAGTGAAATCTCCGTTCCAACTACCAACTCCAAAACTAGAAACTTCCATCAACATTTTAAAAGTTTTGTGAGTTGCAGCGGATCGGCGGTCGTACCTACTGTAGCTAGATCTACAGCGATATCCGCCTGCCTGCGCCTAAGCTCCCGGCGGCCGGACAGGCCACCGGCCCCGATGTAGTTTCGTGCACAGCATGAATGCATACGCAGTTCGCACACGTTCACAATACACAGAAACGTACTAGCTCGCGCTCAGCTCCAGCGCGCGCCCGCACGCTCCTTGTATGAAGCAAATAAGTATTTGCGAGTGACGAGAGCTCAACTGCTAGCGACCAAATTGGTACGTAATATGTTTATTTAGTCTTTTTTCTGGCCCTAATTTTTATCATGGACAATGCAATCCCATTAAAAAAAATGTTATTCCGTCTAAAATTGTGTTATTTATAAGTTAAAACCATTAAATGCGAGTATATTTTTACTGTTGTCCCACATACTGATATATTTGTAATAACGAAACGTGCAAAATCAATGCCGGATTTTTTCCTGTAAAATCGGTATAAAGCAAGTTTCGTACACAGAAATTGAATTTTGTTATAAAAAAACCGTAAATAAATATATAAAGGATGTTCCTACTCCTCAGAATCTTTCTTACAACTGTTTAATTAAATTAAATTATTTATATTCGATCGATGCCAGGCCAATTGTCATGAGTGATGATGACATCAATTTCTGTCTACGAAATGAAACTAGCTTTGGCTTGGCCTTTAGAATTAGAGTCTATAAAAAAAAAATAAGGCCATGATTTTGCATGTTTCGGCATAACAAATAGACCCTACATCGGTATGTGGGACAACAGTAAAAATATTTACTCACATTTAATGGTTATAAATGGTCTAAATAACACAATTTTAAAGGGAGTTGGTCTACATTTTTTTTTAATGGGATTGCATTGTCCATGATAACAATTAAATTTGGGACAGAAAAAAAGACTAAATAACATATTACCTACCAATTTGGTTGCTAGTAGTATGATGGCTAAGGAAAAACACAACTTGTTACAGCTTACAATATGGCTTTAAGGAAGTAGCCCCTTGGTTTTTTTTAGGCAATGGGGAAAAGTAGCCCCCATAAAAAAATTAATTCCTAGCCCGCGTGTCAGTGATAATATTTTCTTAGGATATGAAAAACGAACAGTTAAACAAAACACTCCTTTTGACAAGTTTTAGTTACATGTATATGTAAATCATAAAGCCACACGTTTAACACAAAGTGAATAAATCATGGGTATCTGAATGTCTGCAATACTCTACATGACATATGTACGCTACAATTGTATCTATATTTGCCTTTGCTTGGAATTTAATTAGGTAAAACCGCGTTTAAAAAAAATACAACCTTTAAAAAAAAAAAGCCCCCCTGAGCTCCAAAATAGCCACCGCAAAATAATTAAGGGGGGCTATTTTTTTAAGGGAAAATCTGAAAAGAGCCCTCGTAAAAAAAAAAGTAATTTTTTGGTTGATTTGTATGCTTTTATTCTAGAGTTCTTTTATCTGCTAACTACAATGTGTATGATATTTACCTTTTATATTTCTTCATTTTTCATAAATGCTCTATTTAATTCTATTTTTGCTCAAAATTATGATCATTCATTTCAAGTAAGTTCAAATCAAATACATGTATTTATAACAATCATTTTGATGTAATTCAGATCTGAAATTCAAAAAAGATTTGACACTGCATACTCAATGGGTTATTTTGCATATTATAATGCATCAATTCAATTGAGCATTCATTAAATATTTTCAGTAAATAATTGTGTCTTTGTGCCAATTTTCCATGAATTTTATTTGTTTTCATAACACACAAGTCTATTGAGGTGATTAAAACCTTACTGAAGTACAACGTGAGAACAATAAATTAGCACGATCCAGCCATTTAATCATGTCTCCTTTTTAACATCAATACACGCAGTTCTAGGTTTTCCTCTTACACGAGAGTCAGAGAATATTGTAAGGATTTTAAAACCGATGGTTTGGGACGATATCGGGTGTGCTGGACTTTACACAAGTTCTCTGAAGAAGTTGGAATGACTCGATTCATTATTAACCAATCTATGAGTAATAAGACATTCATAAATTGTATGGAGCAAGTCATGATTCTGGGGAGAGTTCTGCAAAGGTGAAAAATTGTAATCTAGTGCAGCTGATGTCTTCCCGAAGGACAGGGTTAGGCATTTTCTTCACTATCTGTTTTCTACATTCCCGAGACACATCCTCACGTGCTGGCCATATAAATAGCCCCGGATGAGACTCCGACTTGGCCATGTACTTGATGACAAGATCTTCTCCCACAACATCTTTCACCTGAAATCAAAAGAATTAAAGATGAAAAAAATCGTGAGTTTAAAATCCATTGTGCTAATTCAAATTTAAATGTATTTGTATTTTTTTTCTTTTTTGACTTGTTCAGATTTTCTCACGTTAATAGTAATCATGCACATTTTCACTCCAAACAGATAGATATTTCCTGGTTTTGAAACATGAAGGCATTAAATGATTAACAGAAGGATTGTAAAGTATCAATGCAATGATATGACTCAGGTAATGTAGATGCAATATTTTGTATAATTTAGTGTAGGCTCAATAATGAAATAATTCTTGTGTATAAAATGTCATCCATTGAAAAGTAAAATAATTTATTGTGCAGGTTATTCCAATGTTAAATAAATTCCTCAACAATCCTCTTAACAAGAAATTTGTAATGATTTTCGTATTACATTTATTTCACAGCTAAGCATAAAAATAATTTGCAAGTAAATGAAACCATACAAACTTACTTCTCCAACGTATTCCAGAATTTTTCCACGTTTGCCGACTGATATATTGATCAATACAAAGTCTCCACATTGGTACTCATCGGCTGCTTGGTGAACATCTGCCACTGGTCTGTCGGCGGTGATCTCCACATCATTCTGGGTATCATCTCCAGTTGGTCTGGTGGTCATCACATCATTCTGGGTATCATCTGCAGCTGGTCTGGTGGTCATCACATCATTCTGGGTATCATCTGCAGCTGGTCTGGTGGTCATCACATCATTCTGGGTATCATCTGCAGCTGGTCTGGTGGTCATCACATCATTCTGGGTATCATCTGCAGCCGGTCTGGGGGTCATCACATCATTCCGGGTATCATCTGCAGCTGGTCTGGTGGTGATAATAATAATAAATATAACAATAATAATAAGAAGAAGAAGAAGAGGAAGAAGAAGAAGAAGAATATTGAAGATTTATAACATGCACTCCCCACCATAAAGGTGCCCGAGGTGCTTGACAACAGCATCATTTGAACATTATAATAATAATAATCATAACTCTGTATTTACAAAGCTCTTAATAAACAATGAATTTCAAAATATTATATACGTCTGAGTCTTACTTTACCAATTTAGAAGTGTAAAGAAAATTTCTTTAAGAAATATTGCTTACGCATTCTGGGTATCATCTCCAGTTGGTCTGGTGGTCATCACATCATTCTGGGTATCATCTGCAGCTGGTCTGGGGGTCATCACATCATTCTGGGAATCATCGGCAGCTGGCCTGGTGGTGATAATAATAATAATGATAATAATACTAATAATAATAATAATAAGAAGAAGAATATTGAAGATTTATAACATGCACTGCCCAACATAAAGGTGCTCGAGGTGCTTGACAACAGCATTATTTGAACAGTATAATAAAAACAAATAATAATAATAATAACTCTGTATTTATAAAGCTCTTAATAAACAATGAATTTCAAATTATCAAATACGTCCGAGTCCTACTTTACCAATTTAGGAGTGTAAAGAAATATTGCTTACACATTCTGGGGATCATCTGCCATTGGCCTGGTGGTGATCTCCATATCATTCCCTCTGATGGTGACGTCAACTTGGATTCTCTGTGCGGATAGAGGTTCATCAGTGTTCACACCTGTCGATATTCTGTTGATCTTTTTCTGCACCCAGGTGTCGACTATACCTGCATTCAGGCAGGCATCTTCATTGGAATCTGTACAGTTCTTGCAGAAGCAAGACAGCCTTCTAGTGTTTACTACATATGGCTCAACACCTGCCACAGCATGAATTCCCCGTATTCCGGGTACAGTTTTGACATCTACTCGTGAAGATCTCTCTCTGCAGATGTCTCCAACCTTACAAAGCACAAATGTCCTTCTTGAGTGAGCACATACGCCGTTTTCAGTCGGGCCCTTGGTCAGTCTTTCTTTGCAGAAGTCAAAGAATGTCTGTGCATCTGTCACGGCTGCAGAATTGGCTCTTATAGCCCGAGTAACATAGTTCTTTACGACTCCGCCCTCCCCATCACACGGATTCTTTCCATGCCGGCTCCCAAAGTAGTGCCTTTCTACTGACGCAAATGGTAAGTCTGTTGATCCGAACGATATGTCAACTAGGGGCGTGCGAGATTTATATTGTGCAGCACAGCCATCCGAGAACATAATTAGGCGGGTCGCGTCGGGAGCTCTTTGGTGAAGGTGATCAGCCAGCGCACATACAAAGTGGTTGACTGCATGATGGTCATGCTTATTGTCTTCAGTCAGAAAGTTCACCGCCTCGCGCACTGGTGTGTTGTTATCGCACTCATTGTTTTGACACCTGTAGTATGTGACTACCGGGTGAATGGTTACCTGTGCCTGGTACCAATGAGCACTTTGGACCTCTCTTTGGATTGAGCATGTGTAGTTCTCGGCGAAGTCCATGACAGTAACAACCGATGATGGAGGTGGACAAGTACTTGCAGTTGTAAATTGCTTCTGTTGCCATTTGGCTTGAAATAGGTGATTGGGATATGAAGCTAACTCTGTCTTTATTTCTTCAACCAGTTCATGCAGGTTCCCACATTTGTCAGTTAGGACAACTCTTTTTTTCCCCGGAGCGTATTCAATGGAGCACCACTTTTTCCATGTTATGGATTTTTCACTGCTGACTTGAAGCAGGGGAGCCAGGGCATTGTCAATCTCCTGTACGCCACACTTGGAGCACTTCCGGTCAATACACTTGAGCCTTTCTTCTGAAGGTGTTGTACAGAGCGTCATGTCTGATAGGTCATAACGACTTGGAATTTGTTTTAGACCTTTCTGTTTGCGTTCTCGATTTAGGGACTGAAGTTTTAGGTCAATGTTTGTACATACTTCGCAGAGGCACTGCTCAAGTCTTGCTTTGTGTTGCAGGAGGATGTTCCGTGGTCTCATCTTTGCGAAAGCTGATTTCCCAATCTTAATGCCATGCTCCTCACAGAATGTCTTACGAGTAAATTCCATGGAGTTCTGGAGAACATATCTCGGCTGCCCATCTTTCCTTACTGATTTTCTATTTGGTATGCAGGTAGAAGTTTCTACACGTTTCAGGAATGAGTGTACTGATGCCTGAGTGTCACTGCTTGTCGCATCTGATCTCTTCTTTCTCTTTTGAACATTCAACCCTAATCTCCTCATTTTGCTATATTTCAAAATTATTCGTTCTGAAATGCCAAGATATTTTCTGATCTTCTTCCGAAGACCATATTTCAGATCAAGATAAGTATTTAGGTCCCAGATGAATGACTTGCGCCTACATTGACGAGATGAAGATAATGTAGATTTTACACAGTTGAGAACATTCTCCATGTCTTTTGCGTTTGCTTCGACAGCTTTTTCTTCAGCTCTTCTTTCAGCATTCAGCCTCAACATCTTTGCTTTTTCTTCTTTCTTCAGTTTTACCTCTCTCTTATGTGCAACATCACGTTCCCGAACACGTCGCTTCTTCTGTGCTGACATCCGCAACCGGTATCGTCTCTTTTGTTCTCTCCACAGTTCTCTCCTCCTTCCTCTTTTCTGGTCACTCAAGCGGGTCCGAGGAGTGGTAAGTGAAGGTGCAGGTGTGCTGGACATGTTTCTATCATGTTTACTTTCCCTCAGCTTTTTCATTCTTAATATTGATTTTTCATTCAATTGTTTCCGCTTTTCAGCAGTCAGATTCTTCCGATATTGTCGTTGGCGTGCAGCTTCCTTGGCACAAAAAGCTGCATATGCAGAGGGATCTTCCTTTAATTTTGCTCGTTTCTTCCTCATCCTCTCTGCAGCGTTAGATTTTGATGTATCAGCTGTTGGTGATGGGGGTCGAGTTGGCGAACGAAGCTTTACAGTTAATGTCATGTTTGCTTGCACAAGTATTGGTACACTGTGATATGAAGTCTTCTACCTTTCTCTGGCAGCTGAAATGAAGAACAATACATGTGGATTGGCAGATTAAATATCTATTGCAAATAAAAGTGTCTCATTTAAAAAAGGTGATGTTTCAACCCTTAAAATTGCTACTTGTGAAACATTATTTACTCCAATTTCCCCAAGAAATATTGACTTGATACTGTTACAATTAATTATTATTCCAAATGATTTTTTTCTGTAGACTTCACTCAGCTGGAGAAAAATGAAATCATATATTCTGGGGCTGATTAATGTTTCAAAGTGAATTAATTCATGTAATTATTCTAATTGAGATAAAACTTAATTGTGTACAACAAAACACTCTTGTATGCTGTAAATTATTTAACAGTAATATCCTTCTTCAACCATAACAACAATGCGACCTTTTGAAGAAAACACAATTTATTGAAGATAACCAACATTAAGTAATCAAGCAAGCTGTTGGTAAGTATAAATTTGTTTTTGTTTGTTCTTGATTTAGGCAACTGCAGTTGCTTTTTTTGCGTGAGCTAAATTGGGTTGCGGTTGCACCTATTGAAAATGCGAGATCGGCGAGAGTTACCAGTGTTGCATACATGAAAAGCTACATATGGGACTGTAATGTAATAATATCACTACACGTTAAAATTTAGCACTAGCAGACCACTAGCTAGACAAGAAGAGGAAAATATAATCGTACACCACTAAAGTTACACATGACTCATTTTCGGAAACATGATCTTTTACTGTATTTCAAAAAGATTTTGAATAACAAATACGTACCATTCCACGATTTTCAAAGCCTAGATCTAATCTAATGTTGAGTTGATACTCCAATGATTACAATCGGATGTCGTCTGCTGCTCACGAAACCCCGCGAAAAAACGTACGTAAATAAGACCGAATAGCATTTCTGTCCATCGTGCGTACGTCCGACACGTACGTAAATAGGACAGAAAACATGTTCTGTCATACGTGCGTACGTGTCGTTCTAACTACCAGCAACCGTGAACGTACGCACAAACTGGACAGAAGTTATATAGAGCTACACGGCCCCGCGATTGTAGAAGTCAGCGCATGGATTGCAAGTACAATCAAACGTTGCAGTGCCTTGGTTCACTTGACTGATACGTGGATTATCCATGCGTCATATTCGCGGACGCCACGGTCCGTTTTTTTAGTTGTTACGTACGTTCGTGAGTTGGACCGAATATTGCACTCCAAATTTTGAATAGATTTTATCTCTATTTGCGTTTATTTTGACGATTTTTTTCTTGGTCTACATTTCAACCTTCATCAAAAGAGTTGCAAAGCACATAAAACTGTTGGGTGACACAACTAATAATTGTGGGAAAATTCACTCTGAACGTACGTAACACAGGTGGACAGAATCTCTCATTCAGCCAATGTAATTTTCAACTCTCTCACTCTCTCTCTTTAAAGCTCAATCGCCGTAACTATGATCAATGCCGTAATCCACCCGCATCAAAATCTCTTTTCAAAACATGAAACATCAATTTCTTTTTAGAATTTTTATTTGCATCACCCTCAAAATCACACCACTCAACATTTACTGATTGTACTTTGGAATTTTTAATAATAATCATTAAAGAAAAGAGGACAACACAACCAAATGACATTATTAGTGCATGGAATTGTCTTTTTTATTTCTTTATACCATCAACAATGAAAATAAAAACACAGAAAGCCACAGGATATTTATTTAATTTTTCTGTAAGCGCTTTATTCTTTCACACACAGAAGTACCCTATTACCGTGGAAATGCCCACATGTACAGTGTACCTTCAAAATTAAGTTGCTTCGAAGTTTCTTGACCCTTGTCGGAATTAACCCATCTGTCTTGGAAATACCGCGATCGACGAAATTAATCTCAGGAAATTTGGATTTTAACCTTCTCCCTCAGATTTTTTTCGATAGTCGCACATTTTTCATCGTATTATTATTTTGATTCAGCGGCGACCTGCATTGTTCGGGGTCATCGTGTTGATGTCTGGGTAATGTGCGATATTACATGGAGCGCAGCGCTAGAATGGTGTGATTCGATACCGACATGCTAAATCTTATCGTCACATGCGCGCGCGTGTGACTGCTATACGCTGCTATATCGATAAGATAATAGCATGTCGGTATCGCATCACACCATTCTAGCGCTGCACTCCATGTAATATCGTACATTACCCAGACATCAACACGATAACCCCGAACAATGCAGGTCGCTGCTGAATCAAAATATACGATGAAATACGATGAAACATGTGCGACTATGGAAAAAAAATCTGAGGGAGAAGGTTAAAATCCAAGTTTCCTGAGATTATTTTCGCCGATCGCAGTATTTCCAAGACAGACGAGTTCCGATAAGCTAGGATCAAGAAACTTCGAAGCAACTTTACGTAAAGTTATGTCGCATGCGGGAAGGTGTAAGTTAGATCTAGATCTACTAGACATAGATCTAACAGTTAATAGTAAAAAATAAATTTGCTCAACTTCTGTCGACAGGCAAAAGGTCCCAAAGTTTCCAGGCTATATCGTGGTTTTGGAAACCACCGCTCATTCGCTCGCACGCAATAAAGGAAAGTGTCTATGTACATTAGTGAATGGTGGTTTCCGAAACCACGATAATGCCAGTTTCCATAACTCTCTGTCCTGTCTAACTAGACCCTAGATCTATGTCAATAATTATTAAAAAAGGATCAGAGAGTTATCCCAAACTTCTTGGGACGGTAGCTCAAACCGATGACAGCGATCACGTCGAATAGGGGACCAGCCAGCAAACATACCCTACACTAGACAGACCAGTCCCATCGCTTTAGCGATGGGGACTGACGGGCGACAATCTGTAGACTATACCTTGAATACCGTAAATTCAAGATAACAAATTCAACTTTAAGGTATCAATTTAGATTGATACTCATATAAAATTGATGTAACTGCAAGGATACCTAGCCGGGTACTTCTTATTATTTTCGTGATGACAGGTAGTGATTGCCAAAGGCACTGAAAATCAGCAAAAATCAGTCTAAAATGATGATTTGCAATGAAAGAAGAGATATCCTGTGTCCATATCAACTTCTGTCGACAAGTAAATCTAAAATGGCATTAACGAGCGTGTGTGCGTTTATTATGTGGAGTCTACCGGTCGGGGTCAATTATATCAAGGTCAACTTGATCGATCGTTCTGACTTCATGCGAGGTGAATCACATAAGTCGTAGTTAAGAAAGTAGAAGTATGAATAGGTGCCCCAAGAGCCATAGCTGGATCACCAATTAATATAGGTTTTTTTTTTTTTACTAACTTTTTTAAGTGCTTTTGTCCAGCCTGTTTTCAATGCAACGTACTAGACGCCTGACTTCTACAGGCACAGCCCTATCGCGAAACGCGATAGGGCTGTCTATAGTTACCCTACACTCCACCCTACACCCTAACCCTAGTCGGCGGCCTAACGCTAAAACCCTATCCCTTCTCGTGTTATTTCCCCTATTCGACGTGATTGCCCCGATGACGATGTCAAAAAGTTACGATAACAATAATTAACATATTAACGTTATTCAAACTCAAAATAATGATGAACATTAAGAAGATAAGATACTATTTATGTTAAAAATGTGAGAAAAAATAAGTTTGATGTTCGTAACAATTTGATGTTGATGGATTTTAAAAGCTCATTTATACAGTGACAGACCTACAAAGTTCGTTCACTGTACAGTGTACTGTACGTAATGTGACATTGCTATGGTACAGAAGACATGCATGCATGCTAACGATCGAGCGCCGACCTTTTAAGGCCTATTTTCGACATACCATGAATTAACTAAACATCGATCGTATCACCAACTTATTCCATATCAAAATAATTTTCATTCTAATACAAAAAAATGAGTAAGACTTACCTTCGAACACATCAGTCCACCTTTCAAAGCCCCAAGCCCGGAGACACTCGACCCCTCGGTCGTCTGCCACATTGGAAAAATTAACTTTTTGAGCGCGCCGCGCGAAAGATTACGTTAGTGCGCAGACTCAGATGTTGACTGGGATTTTCTGGTCACGCAACATCGCGTGTACTACAAAACTCTAGTTGAAATGACCAGAAAGGTGTTGGTAATGACAAGTATATCTAGTCAAACTGACGAGATTCTAGTCAAAATATTTTGACTTGGGTTTCTAGTCAAGAAAGCGACTAGGCCTTTCTAAGAGTGTATAGACTGGTTCCAAGGGTAAAACAAGTGGCTTCACTAAACTGACAATTCCAGGTCTGTAACTTTTGAGCTGTATCTCTTTGGAAGTAGACTTGGACACCTGTTTAAGGAACGTTTTTTTTTTTTTCCATCGGTGTCTACCTTTTCAGTCTCATGTCCTTGTTTCCTCTTTTGGCCACCCACCTGATGATTTTGGGGGCGCCGTGAAGTAAATTTGTCGTCGTCGGACGAATAATAAGATCTTCTGCAGACAAATTAGCATGTTTCAGTACCAAAAACAGACCTCTGGAGTACACTCTGAAAAGATCATCTGTGAAAATTTTCACCATTTCCTGTCGATTAGCAGGCAGTGGTCTTTCGTTCTGTTTTACGCTGTTCATCAAGCACTGTGGCATTTTCCCCCAAGGAATGGCGTAACATGACACTGAACTGCACCAATCAGGCGATGATATTACACAATATTTAGCTCTATATTGATATATTCCAATGATAGCTCTTTGGCTGTGTGAGCAAACTAAACCATGTTGCTTGCATTCTTTTTGGGGGGCTGAGAGCCCCTTTATGTCTACTGTCTCTGGGTCCAGCTTTGTGCATTTGGGGACGATTATATGCCCAGCTATGCAGATATAATTTTTGGCAAGTTGTGCAAGTAATGGAAAATCTTTGACATAATCGCAGTACCATGCCAAAGGATCTGATTCTATATTATACTAATGCACAGGATGGCATGTTGTTGTAGACTGATCTCTTGGCCATTGTTTTTGACAGCTCTAGAACGGGCATTCATTTTTTGTGGAGTTTTTGATCATCTGACCGACAGATGACACTTCAATTCAATTCATTTTATTTTGCACATTTAATAGAAATCACAATAACAAACATACATAGTACAAAGCCAATTCCAACAAATTCCCAGATGTATTTCTTTCCATCCTCCCCCTCCCTGTACCCGTCTACATAACGGCCATGCACTTTCCTTTCCCCCCCCCGTTGAATTGGTGTTTAATGTCAATACCACTTAGCATTGCCTCGTGGTGTGACCACTCGCCCGCTATAAGAGATTGGTTCTTTGCGCGCGCGTAACCGTCCTGGGGAATAAGCGCTATTGTTTTGGGTTTTAGATTATTAGTACGAAACAAAAGGTTGCAAGCACTGGGGAGGGTTAAGCAACGTAAGAAAGGGTCGATTCCACCTTCGTTTGTCTCTGTCATACTGATGTATTTGAAATTGGCGCGGAAAACATTACAACTTTGATGTAAGATGTGAACGTCACTTTGACAATAGTCAAGCATTTCTTTCTTGAAATCGAAAACATAGTTTTCTTTGAACAGCGCGTCGTACCATGAATGAAATTCCATCAGGGCACTTTTCCCCATACTTCCAACACCGTAGAACTTTTTGTCTGGCAAAGGTCCTACGTAATTTGCTTTTGCAGCAGTGTTGAAATTCCCAAATGTATTTCTTTCCATCCTCCTCTCTGTACCCATCTACATAACGGCCTTGCAATTTCCTTTCTCCGCCACTGAAGTAGTGTTTAATGTCGATACCACTTGGTCTTGCTTCGTGGTGTAACCAGTTACCATTCGCCCCCTGTAATAGATTCGTGCTTTGGGCACGGTAGCTCTTGCGGAAATAA